TCATGCCATACTCTATCTCCTATCTTCCATTTACGTCTCCTCTTCTTCTTCTTTTGTATTGTTTCCTCTACTTTCTCTTTTATTTCCTTCCATAATTCTTCAACCCCCTCTTCTTTACTGGTCCACTCCTCACAGCTCCTCAAGTTCTTCCTTTGTTTCTTCTTTCCATTCTCTTCTTTCTATTTCTTTCTCCTCTTCTATTTCTTTTTCTTCTTCCCTTGTTCCATATAATGTCACTTCCAACGGCACGTGGTCCGAGTCCGTTCCTTCTCCTATTTTCAAACTCTCTACTTCCTCTGTAGTCTCTTGGTTTCCTATTATATAATCAATAACTGATGTTCCATTTTCTCCTATGTATGTCCATTCTCCTTCTTCTCCTTTGCTTCCATTTAAAATCACCCATCCTCTTTCTTCAATTTCACTTATTAGTCTTCTTCCTTCTCCGTTTATTACCTTGTCCTTCGATTTTCTTTCTCTCTCCTTTTTTACCACTTCGTTTATCCAGCCCCCTTCCTCCCCTGTTCTGGCGTTCCAGTCTCCTCCTATTAACAATACGCCTTCCTCGTTCTTTTCCATTCCTTCTGAAATTGTGTGCATTATTTCTTTTACATTCTGACTGTACACTGTCATCACTCTCCACTCTCTCTCATCATATCTTATTCTCCTTTCCACTATGTTGTCACTCCATTCTTTGTATTCCAAGGTCGTTATCCTTTTACTTATTCCTGTTATAATGCCTCCTTTTGCTCTCCCTTTTTTGTTTTCTCTCTTTGCTGGTCTACACTTCCATTCCAGATTTTTCGGCAGTTTGTCCTTTATTTTATTCCATCCCTCTTCCTCTATCCACGTTTCCGTCAACCCTACCATCTCAAATCCACTTAAATATATTCCCATACCTTTATCTTTATTTGTAACTCCTGCTATATTCCAAAAATACATTCTTGCCCCCTTTTCTCCTCTTCTCTCTTCTTTCTCCTTTTCCTATTGCCTTCCTCTTCTTTCTTCATTTAAAAAAATTAAGTTTACCTTGACCTGACCTTCGTAACATTATGATCAGTTAGATATTATCGTTCAATGCGTTTTTGTAAACCTTACAACTTTTGTCTGAAACTTTTTTTTCAAAATTGCATTGTTTACGAGATATTCGACTGTATCCAGACTTTTGGTCCACCCTGTATATACGTGTGCGTGCGTGTGCACGCGCGCGCGCGCGCGCGTGTGTGTGTGTGTGTGTTTACGCGCGTCGCACACGCGCGTGTGCGTGCACAAGTTTATATAATGAAAAACAGCGAGGGGTTGGTCACTGAGGTAATTTTTGTACAAGGACTAGGTAATTCAGCGGCAATCCAAAGGAAATTTTGGGTGATCCAAGGTAATTTTTGGTAATTCTAAATAATCTTTAGCATTCTCAGATAATCTTGGGTAATCTAATAGGAAATTTAAGTAATCTAAGGATAATATCAAATAATCTGTAGGTAATTTTAGGTATTCTTAAGGACCTATGTGAAGTTGGCTCTTAAGGGGCTACATACACCTAGCGGTAGGAAAAATGGGGGGAAATTTGACAATTTTTTCATAAAAAGTTTTTTTATTAAAAAATCTGTAGCTACATTTTAAAGTAGGTCCTTTAATGTATATTTGGTAAAATTTTTATTAATAAATATTGAAAAATGTGCCGTGGAAACGTCATCTCCTGAAAGCTGTTCGACGAAGCGGTAACCATTGTAGCTCCTCTAATTTTTATCTGAAATCAAAAGCCAAAAAATTTTCTTAAAGTATATAAAAAAAAGGAAGTTATTGTAGCCGATTTTTAAAATTGTGATTTTTTAAAAAATGGCGGCCATTTGAATGCGAAGGTATCAGATTAAAAATTATATCTTTGCATTCAAATGGCCGCCATTTTTCGAAAAATCACAATTATAAAAATCGACTGCGACAAAAACTTCCTTTTTTTATATACTTTAAGAAAATTTTTTGGTTTTTGATTTCAGATAAAAATTGAAGGAGCTACAATGGTTACTGCATCGTCGAACAGCTTCCAGGAGATGATGTCTCCACGGTACATTTTTCAATATTTATTAATGAAAATTTTACCAAATATACATTAAGGACCTACTTTAAGATGAAGCTAGAGATTTTTTAATAAAAAAAATTTTTTTATGAAAAAAAATTGTCAAATTTCCCCCTATTTTTCCTACCGCTAGGTGTATGTAGCCCCTTAAGGTAGCCTCAAATAATCTGAGGTAATCTAAGGTAATCTTAAGTAATCTGAGGTAATTTAAAGGTAATCCGTATCAAGGGTAATTTTTGTACACTATAATCACTAGTGACCTACCCCTCGAAAAACAGAGATATATTCTATAATTCTTAGGACACAATTATTAAATTTTGATATTGATTATTAAATAAAATATAAAACTTGTCGCGACTATCATTAAATATTGACATTTAGCTCGTTAGAAAAATTTTGATGAAATACGCTGCTCAAAAAAATTATGACAGAAAATATTTGCCGGAAATTGGCCAACTTTGACTGCCGATCACTTCATGAAAAATTATCGTAGACGAATGAATTTTTTTTTCAAGATGAAGCTTGACGTCTCTACTTTAAGAATGTACCTCCATTTTTTGCATGCGATGCACCCCTACCCCTGTAACCCCTGAAATCTGAGGGCATGTTTGGCATACTGAAGATTGCAAAGTTTGACGGAATGCACGGACGTGAAAAAATTTTTTTCGGCGACGCCGTTTGCATCGTTATAAAATTCAAATATTTCATTTCAATTTGAAAAAAAAGCGAAGTCGGTACGATTTTTTTTTCGTAAAGTTATAGCCTTTTAAAATTATCTTTGGCCTTTGGGCCAAGTACCGGCGGGCGGGTTTAATGACTGGAAGCCATAGTGGAGCCATGGCAAAAGTGTTGGACACACACGCGCGCGCGCGCACGTTTTTCAGCTCTTGGCTCGTGTTTTGATCAGTCATTAAACCCGCCGGCCGGTACTTGGCTCAAAGGCCAAAAACAACGGTAATTTTGAAGGGCTGTAACTTTGCGAAAAAAAATCGTAGCGACTTCGCTTTTTTTTCAAATTGAAGTGGAAGATTTGAACTTATGACGACAACGGTTATGCAAAACGGCGTCCTCAAAAAAAATTTTTTCAAGTCTGTGCATTCCGTCAAACTTTGCAATTTTCAGTATGCCAAACATGCCCTCAGATTTCAGGGGTTACAGAGGTAGGGATGGATCGCATGCAAAAAATGGAGGTACATTCTTAAAGTAGAGACTTCAAACTTCATTTTGAAAAAAAATATTATTCGTCAACGATAATTTTTCGCGAAGTGATCGGCAGTCAAAATTGGCCAATTTTCGGCAAATATTTTCTATGCCATAATTTTTTTGAGCAGTGTATATTGCGAAATCTAAGATTAAAAGTTGCTGTGTAAAAACAAATCAGAAAGATTGATGATCCAATCTTACCATATACGCTTCAAACACCTTACATCGCTTAATTTTATTTGAAGCATTTTAACGTAGCTTTTGTGATACTTGTGAATAAGATTATGAGAGGATGATTACGCACAGCTGTTACATTGTAGCAGACATATTTGACTAATGCTCGTCTTACGCGAGCATCGTAATACGCGAACGTCATTTACCCTATTTATCAATGGCAGATTGAGTATAATGCAGCAGGGCTAAGAGATCTAACTAAATACCGCTCAACCTCTTTAAAAATGAGGGGGAGAGTAGGGGAGATCATAATAATCACGCTTTTTATATTATTAACCCGTCTGCAGGATTTTATCTCGGATATTAAAAAATCGTATTTCTTATCCTTATCGGCTCGTAAACTTCGCGAATCAATCCGAAGTGCATTGTTATTGGCATATGATTATCTTTTGAAATAGAACGCAAGAAGTCATTAATAGTAATTTATGGAGTTATTGGCAGTTAATATATATATAATAAGGATAAGGTTATAAAGATCATCTTCTCTTTACCTGCAGGATGAAATAGCCAGAAAATCTTTCTCTTTTCGTTTAACTTTGTTTAGAACAGAGTAATTAATTTTTATTTGTTCCTATATTTTTGTTTTACATTTTCAGCTATTTTATTCTTCGCAAAACGATGTTACGATATGTTCATGATTGTACGCAGTTATTAATATCAACTTGAGAAATCTCACGGTCTGCGAATAATTTGGTCAAACGCTCGTTTCGATGTGCACCGGTTAACAATAGGCGGAAACTATCAATGAATTTTATTTACTATCATGTTAAAAACTGCTGACATAATATTATAATACTTTCATCTTATACAATTAGTAGAGCACGAAAATTATTAATTTTGAACGTTAAATACGATATGTGTATCTCATTAAGAGATCGGTTAGTAGAATACCGATTACATCGGTGAGGATACGGCAATAATTGCCTATAATTGGTAATTGCTATAGATATTAACATTAATATGAATATCGATTTAAAAAATCGTACTGTTTTCGTATTAATATAATTATCATGAGATATTAACAGACTTCATAAGAATCCGGATAAAGAACGCAAAGTATCATTGTCGTTACTGTTATCATGGTCGATAATGTTTATCATTATTTATGCCGATGTTTAATTCAATTAAACATGAAATTATTTTCATGACAGTTTTATTACGTTTACAAGTTCGAAAAATGGGAAATGCGCAAAAATAAATATGTAGAATATTCTTAAAATGAGATTTGCTAAAGATAATTTTGTTATATTAGTAAAAAAAAAGTTTATATTTAATATTTATCAATGTAGTTATTGAAAGCTAAGATGAAATGTGCTGCACACAATACAATATCAGATCGTGATTCATAGTGAATTGCGTTTTATATTGGTTGAAATTCGAAGTGTGCAACTGTATTATATATATGTTATTTTCTTCCGCGCTGTTCATTTCGCAACTGTGTAAGACTGACAAATCGATATGGAATGTGAATAACAGCGTTTCCTTGTTACAGATATGGCACAAGCAATGTTTCAAGTGCCAGGGCTGCGGTATGACCCTGAATATGCGGACGTACAAAGGTTTCAACAAACAGCCATATTGCGAAGCGTAAGTAAAATATTTCGTATCTTTGTACTTGTGATTACCGCCTTCTACGTGATCTCTTGTCTCTCTGGCGAAATCCGCGTTCCACTTTATTGCAAAAAGAAAGTTGACCCGTGAAAATTGCTGTCAGTGTTACGAGCTGAATTGTGTCATGTTTCTCTTTTTTTACGTCACATAATAAACTGCCTTATGTGATCTAAGTTGCGGTGTGACGTAACTTAATATTTGCTAGCGAGAACTATTATCTGAAGAAAAAAAAAGAGCTAATGATAAGCACGCGAAAAATATATGAACGAGTTTACTTCTTGTGTAGTATTTCGCATTCTATACTGTAGTAGATCTTGATTATGCTTTATATATTTCGTACATTTTATGGCTATTTTCACAAAATTTTAATATTAATTGATTCCTTTTATTTCTAGTCTTTTATACTGTCTCTATCCTTGTTCTGTTAAAATTAAGTAACATTGCGTAAATTATTCCAATATGTTATCTGACAATGAGAGAAAATGTACGGATCATAAATGCCTTTTTCATGCAATTCAGAGAATCATCGCATAAAGTATTTATTTAAGATCCACAACGCATGCAATTTCCAATTCGCTTGATACTCATGCGAATGAAACATTGACATTAGCGATGGTTAATGGCGTGCACACGCTTCGCAGATTCCTCTGTTCGACGTGCGTGCGTTATAATAACGCGACGTTTAATATCCGGTAAACAATAGAGAGGAACTCGAGAGAGGAACGTGAAAGCGGAATAGTTACTGGATCGCAAATCGTTGATAGTTAAACGCATGCCAAGCGTATTGATGCGGCGAAAGCGAACGCGCGATCCTTGCGGTCTCTCGAGGATAATGCATGACAGTTGGCAGTCGCGCCTCCTGTCTGTGAAGGATTCTCCTTTTAAAACCCATCCAAGGACTTTTAAACGCGCGCGTGCGCAACTTTTACACACGGCACCGGTAGCGTAATAGTTTTGCTGATGTCCCACATTTCGCTCGTGCAATATTCTTACCACGCACAATAAATATTATTTTCTAGGCTCCAGAGTTATTCCCTGTAACGATATTTTGTGCATGATTCGCAAATTAAATGCGCTTTCGTTCAAATAAACTTGGAAGCTATGACACACTGTACGTCATCGTGTACGTTTGAAAATCATCGCGAGACGAAAACTCCTAGCCATTGTTTTTAATATCCTGATGATAACTCGATGTTTTGCCACATTTCTTACAAAATAAGCAACAGCTTATTTTCCTGTTACGGCGAAGCAACTTAATCACGAAAAACAGTAATATCCGTTACTCGATAATACTAATTAGAATTTAGAAATTATAATCCTTTTGAATTATGTTCGCGCTACACTCTTTGTATCGAGTTATAAGATCAAGTAAAGAATAAAAGTATTCGAGATAAAAACCGAGAACTGGTTTTCGTCGCTTATTACGTTTCTTTGATCAAGCATGATCTCTTATTTAGCTCCATTATATCCAGTTCTAAATATTTTCTTTGAAAACATGTGCGTTTGTAACTCTATCTTTAATAGATAAACATATTATATCGTACATTAAGATATCAACAGAATTTCTAATTTTAGAATCTCCATTGGAGTGGGCGGCACTATAAAATGAAAAAAAAAGAAAATGATAAGACATTTATATAATACTTTTATTCTCTACTTATCTTATAACTCGATACAAAAAGTGTAGCACGAGCATAATCCAGAAGGATTATAATTTCTAAATTCTAATTAGTGTTATCGAGTATTGGATATTAGTGCTTTTCGTGATTAAGTTGCTTCACCGTAACAGGAAAATAAGCTGCTGCTTATTTTGTGAGAAATGTGGCGAAGCATCGAGTTATCATCAAGATATTAAAAAAAATGGCTAGGAATTTTTGTCTCGCATGATAGTTATCTATTTATTATTCCAGCAAAACAAATAATAATTATAATTATTTTGTAGTAATATTGAAGTCCGAGCAATTATATGTTTTTTACATTATGTGTATCATATTATATGTGTATCATATTATACAAGTGCTGCTTTAAGGATGTTTTGGCTGTACAATAGCAGCAAAAACTGTCAAAATTTAAAAAGAAACATATTTGTACGTTTATATTGTTTGGAAAGTTAAATAAATAAATCTGGATTATAAAAAGAATTAAAGTATCACAAAATAATATGATTTTTAACGTCTTTATAAGAGAAAATAGTTGTAATTAATTTTTTTTTTAATTATGACAAAGCTTTTGGTCATGAATATCCCCTGAAATTAACTGCAGGAAACAACAAAAAAATCGAATAATTTACAGGAAGATTTCGGGTTACTATAAATATTTTGTTATAAATTTTTAGTAAATAACTTTTAAACGAGTAAGTGGATCTAAATCAAATTTTGCACAAATATTTATTTATTTATTTTGTTAATACATGCGAACATTTTTATTTTGCTGGCAATGTTTTTTCCTTGTCAAATTTGTCAATAAGTGCTACAATACACAATTTTTCATAAAAATCAATAAGTTAAATAATTTCCAAACCGTTAAGAGAATTGTGCTCAGGTTTTGCATAGATACTGAAAAGAAATAGTAGAACAGTCTACGAAATTTTCATGCTTTTGTCAATATTTTGATATATGACACATATATCCTTAAATGGAGCAAAAAAAATTACGATTTAAACATTTGAATATTTTGTCAGATAAGACAGTAAAAAATATATATACTGTACAAGAAACACACTGTATAGATATATACATATATATAATTATCTTAATTAAGAGCAAATGTTAAACATGAATCGTTAATACGTAATAACTCGTCAATACGATCTGTAAGTAATTAGGTTCGTTGGGTGACATAATAAAATTGACTTGGCGTCGTGGTTAATTTTATGGCCCCAACGAATATTAATTGCTCTTTTTTGAGCAATAGGAGATCCCGGGAGGAAGCGTGTGAAGCTTTATAACGTTTTCTTGCGATAATCTCCTAACATCTCACTTTTTTTTAAATTTTTGTATATAGTTGATGGTTTAATTGATGAAAATATTTTTTATTCCTCTTATCTGCTCAAAAATAAAAAAATTTTAAATTGGAATACAGACTTCAAAAAAGTTTGAAAAAATTATCGCTATATTAAATATTATTTTATTCTGATATTCAAATATATTTATCGAATTCAAGATAAAAGAAATTAATAAGAACTATAAAAAAAGATTTTGTTGAATGCTTTGGATACTTTAAAATCTTCCCTTGATAGAAATTAAATTTTGCGAAACACCAACAAATCACTCGAATATAATCTTTTTTCCCGGAATTATCCATTTGCTTTTGATGATAATTAGGCCTGTTACGGCTCCTCTCTGCGTTCTTTCGTCTTCATATCAGTATGCCACGTTGCATCGAGAGATGCGTTCGTGACTCGTACAGTATTCCGTTATGCATCGCGATGTCGAAATCTCCGAGTCGCGACTCGAATCTGCATCTCTCTCTTCTTACTTGCAGACTTCTCTTCTACGCTTATATGGCGCTTAATATGCTGTGTAATGACAAATAATTTGCTCGAGACGTTTTGCTCCTTTCTCCCCGACGAGAAAACGTTATCTGAAATATTTAAAAGAAAAAGAGGTAAAACTACATAAAAGGTAACACACCTCCGATTTTATCGCCACTTAGATATGTTATAGGGGAGGTTTTTCTGAGTAATTTCCCCCCAAAAAAGTGGGGGACGGCATTGGTTTAGGATAGAGTCCCTCTAACAGCGTCTGGCCAACTTGACAGTTTTGGCAAAATTTTGCGAGAGAGAAAGAAATATACGCCATCTTACTTTAAACGAACGCATGCGCATGACAGTGTTGCATCTAAATTTGGTGATGTTTCTGCTGATCACATTTTAAATTGTCATCAATTATATTCTAAAAATCTCAAAAGATTTGTTGTTTCGCGATTACATATTTATCAGAGAAAAAATACTATGCTTAGTAAATATACATGAAAATATGCGTTTTGGGGGTATATTATAGTAATTGTTTAAAAAAATTTCTAATTGTTTTTATCATCAGAATTCTTTGGAAAGGCAATGTGCATGCTCAGAACTATATCAGAACTGCTTTAGAATAAGCAGAACTCTTGAAAATCGACCGATGTCTCACTTTATACTCGAAAATGTGTGTTTTTGGGACAAAATAATTGTTTTAAAAAATTTCTGATTGTTTTTATCGTCAGAACTTTTTAGAAAATGCATTAATACGTTCAGAACTATATCAGAACTGCTTTAGAATAAACAGAACTTTCGAAAATCGAGCGGTGTTTCATCTCTGTATCTATAGATATAGGGATCCACTTGCCTTTATTTCACCTTAATTGATATTTTTTTGTTTTTAAAAGGCAGAATTCTTCTTAGAACTCATGTAGAACTATAAATTTTTTCAATTCCGACAATTACTGATAAGGAAAATGCTGTAAGATAAAGTAAGACGCTGTGTGAAGTTGGCGTCTCAGTTTGTCCGAAGGCATTTTCGATGCTTTAGACCGGGTTGTTCCAACCTCTAGGTAAACTTACCTGACGGTTAAAAGCATACATTAGTGTGCTTTTAACCGTCAGGTAAGTTTACCTAGAGGTTGGAACAACCCGGCCTTAATGGGCCAAACTATTTATTTAAAATATCAACAACTTTAAAACTATTGAAAGTCAGAACTCTTAATTATTTGTGAGTTTCCACAAAATGATATGCCAGCTTCACACACACGTACAGGGTCACGGATATTTTATCAATAATATGTTTTATTTCTTGCAGTTTGTTAACAGCTTTCAACATACAACTACACGAATTTGTGAGTCTTGTCTTGAAAAATATTATTTATTGAATGCGTGGGCGGGGAAAAGACTCCGTCTCTCCCTCTGCATCCCCGCCCCGAAAAAATCTAATCTAACTAAACCCAACTTTACTTTTAAAACTGAAAATAGGTTTGGGTTAGGTTAGAATTTTTTCGGGGTG